AGAGGAGTACATTTCTTAAAATGTATCAAACAAAAGACATATTTCATTTTCTTCTCCTGTATTTTGTGATACAACTTGGTGCACAGATACCTCCAAGAGAGGGAAGCCTTGAATGTTTATAGCACTGTCTGGATAGAACATTAACATTTTCTATATTCATTATGCTTTCAGTTGATATAAATGACAGATTGGGCCAGCCTTGAGGAAGTAATTATGACTGAATTCTGTATGAATTCTAATGAGGAATAACAAAGGAAGAAGGAAAGTAGCCACAAAAATATATCATGCAGGTACTCAGCATGCAGTTACATGCATGGCATGGTTTAATAATTTTAAAAAAAATTTTAATCAAACTACATAACTACTCGCAGATTTCCCTTGGCTTCTGCACATAAGTATATAAATGTCTTGCAAATAAAAAATACTCATGTTCATCTCGTGGATGCCTTAGCAGAAGTGAGTGTTAAAGAGGGTGTTTAATGCTGAGAGTGTTCCCCTAAACCATGTGAAGGTGGGCACTACACACAGGGCATGTGAAGGACAGATGGAGCTGAGGCACAGCAGACACTAGCACAAGGACCTCAGGACTGACATCATGTAGGAGAAGAGCAGGATGTGGAAGGAGAACTGAGGAGAACAGACAGGCACAGAGAGACTATGGACTTTGTGGCCACAACTTCCATTGCAGCTCCCAGGAGCAGAGACCTCAGAGTAGTCCTTTAATCATCTTTCTCCCCAGAGAAAACTTACCAAGCACTAGCCCATCTCGAGGAAACTCCCATCTGGAGTCATAAGGCAGTTGCATTGGGTCCACATAAATGTATTCATGGCCATCAGGGCTGATAGACTCAATGACTCTCCATCTTATCTCATACCTTGGCTTCTGCAGAGCACATTGAATGCAAAACCAATCATTAGTCCTGTGCCTGACTTCAGAGCAGATCAAAATCCAGCAGGGCTCAACATCCAAACTGAAATACATGTCTACATTACCTGTTTCCATATGATGACCAGGACAATCAGTGAAATTATCACAATCACTAACAGCACTAAGACTGCAGCAGCCACCGTTAGTTCTGACCGCAAGGCTGTGGAGTAAAAAGACAGATGTTATTTTCTTCCTCCTGAGCCATGAGGAATATGACACACACATAAGACACCCACCTCCCCTACCATCACAGTTCCCATGTCCTGCAGATGTGGCAGGAGCAGTTCCTGAGGCTGGTGACTGTCAAGTCTTTCCAAGCCCAGAGCTGCTCTGTCTTCCTGTTTCAAAACCAAATGCAGATTGTCTAGAAGAATGTCCCATAGCCAGTGGCAACAAAAGGATAAAATGAATCATGGAACCACATAATAAGCATCTGCTGATGCACCATAAAGACCTGCAGAATGCTTCATACTCAGTTCAACTTACTATCTACAACAATTCAAATTTTTATCCATTAAGACTGAACTGGGATGTGTTAGAGCAGGGTCAAACTGGCTGCTGTATTTTCATAGAAGGACAAAGCAAACTCACTGGGAGCCACAAGCTTCAGTTCTCTAGTGACAGCACCAAGGTCATTCCTTGCCATACATCGCACAGCCAGGGTTTCCTCTACCTTCTGGAAGGTCACTTGGCTTTCTACCATATTTTTCTCATCCAGGTGGGCTTCCATGTGTATGTCAGAGATATTGTTAGTCAAAAGGGTCCATGAAGTGTCATTGCTGCACCTGCAGAGAAGAATAATGGGAAAAATGGGATTTGGGTGTAGACATAAGAGTGAACAGACAAGAACTACCTTTTCCTACAAATTTCTTATGACAACAATCCTTTTAAAGACCAGAAATACTTAAGACTGACTATGAAAAACCTGCACTTCTCTTTCCTCAGAATAATTTTCCTTTTGATCTTCATTACTGCTGCTGCTTGGAGGGCCCAACAATGCAACCCTGCTGGTCTAGTATAGATAGACATTGGTGTCACTGTGTATCCCTTGGAGTCAAGGCAGTGGGTGGATCTCTATTTCTCCTGGAATCCTTAGTGCTGTACAAGGCTCCTGGGGCAGGGCTAGGAAGACAACTGCCCCACCAGGCAGTAAGAGGTTTTGGCACTGTAAGAGCAGAACACAGCTTGGAGGTGCCAAGGCATCCTATTCTTCTTCCACACATGGTCTTCCCCTCCAGGTTGCATAATATCCCAGGGGAAAACCAGCTTTCCAGTACACACAGAAAGAGCCACTCTAGAACTAGCAAAAATGGGAGCAATTACTCCACATGTCTCAAATACTTTGAAGGTGAAAATTATAATTAGGGGGGAATAATTACAAGTGAAAATTTAGAAGCACACGAGTGTTAATGAGGCAGACTGAGCTATCCGGGAAATTTTAAGAACTCCATGAATGGAGGGACAGCTGCTTCTCAAGATCCTTCCTCAGAGTGGGACTGTGAAATCTGCAGAGTTGGCTTATTGAACACAAAGCTTTTGTGAGAGAAATGTCTTGAACTGATGCATTGTTTCTTCTCCTATAGGATGTAATAGGAAGGGCACTGACAACCTCTCTCGAAATATAAGCAACATGCCTCAAAAAAGGAAAAAGATTATCAAAATATTTCTTGCCCTTGATGAAGAAAACATGGTGCAGTAACTAATTATATTAAGCTAATTGAGGACACAAGTCATATTTTAGATAAGAAAGCAGACATTCCTCTTACTTTTTAATGTCCTTGCAAACCAGCCATTCCACATCAGGAAGTGGGGTCCCCTCTGCCAAGCACCTCACTGTCTGCCCACCTCCAGAGCCGTGGTGATCATCCACAAGGTCTAGGATCAGAGCTGGAACTAGGAAGGTGTTAAAAGTTTGTTAAAATATTTGTCAGAGTCTAAAAAAACAACAGCCTGAAATTTCAAACAAAGCAGGGCAGGTGTTGTTTGGCCAACAGCTTAGCAATAGCTTGAGACCCAGACTCATCCAGGAGATGCTTATCTCCCATAGGACTGAGCAGATCCTAGGCTGGAGCCATGAAAAGGAGGTGCTGTGGTTATGCCACGTCCTCATGTCATATTAAATGAGCTGTCATCCTGCTGTCAGCTGGAATAACTTAGCTGGGAGGATAAAATTTCTCTTTGGCTCTATGCCAGTGCAGAAGTGAAAGCCAGGATCAGCACAGCAGAGCTCCAGGGACTCAGCATGCACGCACTCCTCCACACATCCCAGCTCATGCTTTTCTTATAGCCACACTCCAGGCAACTCAGTGTGCAAGTGGATCAGGTCTTTGCTGTGTGCTATCAGTACTGGTGGGTAAGGCTTCAGGGCTCCTTACCTTGTATTAACAAGGAGAAGGTGTATCTTTTAATCTCATCTTCATTTTCAGCAACCAAAGTATAGTATCCACTGTCTTCTTCCTTGGCTCGTATCAATTTTAATACACTCTGAAACCTGCAGAGGTACAAGATTTTGTTTGTATTTTTAAAACAGGCATAAAACAAATCACTTTGGTGCAACATGTATTCTGAGTATGTTGAGGTTATAACATAGTGACATTTAGCATTTCTAGCACGCCTCTAACTAAAGTCATTACTCAAGTGGCAAATAACTACCAACATGCAACCAAAAAAAGGTGAGCATAGTTATTTTCTGCAAGGACCTGACAAAGCCCTGGTATTACTGAAAATAGCTAGAAATTATTGGTGTGGAGACATGTTGAAGGGACTGAAGAGGTTTAGTGTGCAAACCCCAAGATTTCTATGGTTTGAAGAGGTTGATGTTATGAGGAGAATAAGAAGAGGCAGACTAGGTATCGTCTGTTAGAGTAGAACACAAATTATTTTTAAATGCCACTGAGGAAGAAGCAACAAAATGAGGTGGAAAGAGAGAGCAGGAGCAGTGCCCAGGTTTCTGGGGCAGAAACTCAAGTCAACATGGCAAAGTAAGGGTCAGAAGAATTTTATTACGTAGTTTCCTGGATTCTGTTTGAAGTGGTAACAATCTCAGTAAGATTTTCAATCAGAGTCACATTGTCCTTCAGCCAGTACATTTTTGGTGCGGGGTAAGCCTGCACATCTACGACGAAGTTTTTGACTTCATGCAGATTAACAGCTTCCAGAGGGCTAAACTGAGGATCCAGGTGAACAAAGCCTTTGTCTGTAAATGAAAAAGACTTGTGTAAACAACACCGTGGAACATTTTGCAAGAATTGTGTTTTCCAATGTGTTAGTAATATCAGACACTAAAATCAGACTATACCATGAACTGTAATGACTACTTTCTTATTTTCCTTAACCTCCTTGGTTGCATGCCGAGCAGTACATTCATAATCCCCTGTGTCTTTCACTGATGCCTCAGGAATGGTCAAGGTGTAAATCAGCTTCTGCGATGGGACTTTGATATCATCAAGTTTTATCAGACCTTTTTCTTTCTGTAGTTTGGAGAAGGAAAGAAACACCTTGCTTAAGTAACTGAGCTGAAAGCACATCATTGAGGATCTATGATGCCCCTGAAGTGTGAGCAACCATCTAAAGTGTGGCAGAAGACTCATTTACTCACTTAAGAACATATTTTTCATCCACAGACACAAAAGGTGTGCCTATAAAAATACACACACCCTTTTGGGGGCAGACACAGAAGGGTGAGGAGGTTGAGAGCTCATGTTTTGTTCACATGAAAAAAATACTTTTCAAAAATGGTGTGAGCAGCTTGAAAGAGCAATTTACTGCTTATGCAATACCTTTTCCTCAGATATAAAAGCCACTTGACTTCTCTTTGTTCAGTGTCCATGATGTAGGATGAATTTCTATCCTTCACCAGACAAAAAGTTACTAGATGCTATGTTCTGCCCTCTCTCAAAACAAGAATAATTTATTGACAAGAAGACTCCTGTGAGTTAAAGGATTGTGAGAATGACAGACCATGTTATCATGAGTGGCTGGAGCAAAAAATATGCCAGGGCTAGTTTTGATAGGTGGCATATAGTTGACACTATAATGCCAAAGATGGAAAAGAGAACAAAATCTTCTCAAATAAATTTTCCTCTTGGACTCTTAACTTATTTAAATAAAAGGTGGGATTTGGGGCCACAACTAGGTACACTTCATTCTTTCAGTGACCTGACTTTTTACATGGGGTGCTCTGAAATTCTCTCTTGACTGGGACTGGCTCTAACCAAGTTTCACTGAATAAAATTTTTCACTGCAACCAGATGTAACACTGTTTTGAAAATTTCTAAGGTTCTCTAGTAGTTTTAAGGTTTTCTTACTGGAAAATTCTCATCAGTATTCACAGTGACTGTAAGAGTCATTTCAGTTTACACCTGCATAATGAGGAACAGTTAAGTTTACAGATTTGATTCTTCATTGTCCTTTATTATGTCCGAGAACCAGGGTTTAAGAGAGCCATTTCAGAGGTTCAGACTTTCCACAGCAGAGTTCTATGCAGATGTCCAACACACCTAGATCTTTCTATTTTCACAACACTGCTTTTTTTGAACCAGCACAAGACCTGAGAGATGGCACTCCTCGCTTGGAGGATGGATTCCTAGCCATACCTCATTTTCCTCTCATGCTTTACATACTTTCTAACAGCATACTCTGACTTTTGGGACTGACTTTCTTTGGTGGTAACCTAAAATTAAAAGACATTACTTTGTTTTCTCTCCTCAGCTATCCTCACTCAGATAAGAGAAGAATATTTTACAACCCCACCTTCTTCCCCAATAAGCAACTACAAACACTGAGAAAATAAAAAGAGAGATATTTACCACTTTCCCGGGATAATTCCACTGTAAATTAACCACCTCATTGTCAAAGACCACACAAGTTACTACAATGGTCTCGCCTGTTTTGTAGACGGTTTTAAGCGCTTCAATTTCAACTGGCAGCTGTGAAGTTGCTAAGAGAAGAGAGAGAGCTCATTTACTTTTAAAAAGAATGCAATTTTCACATAGTGCAATTTCAGAGGGAGATTTCCATTTCACTTTTCTGGAAAATGCAGTAAAAATGCTGCTGATCTATACTGTTATAAACAATCTATATTTAAAACATGAAGAGTACAAGCACTGAGAAATGATCATACATAAAATTTCAATTAGTAGCTCCGGTCTCTAATGCCCCTGTGAAAAGGCATTAGGTGTAAAAGCAATTTACCATTTTGCTTATCATTTTGTCTTCGAAAATCCCTTGCTGGCCAAGAAAAACATTTTCAAAATTATTGAATCATGATTTTTTTCTGGCTACCCAATGTTCTACAGTTCAAAGCCATTGGGAAAAAACAGTCTTTAAAGTTGGAAAAGAAGATGAAAATACAGAAGACTTTTCTTGCAACCATTTGGGAGAGGAGATAAAGTTAAGGACATCTTATTCTCATCAAAATTGTAAGTAAACTCACAACGAGTAACTGGACATGTTTCCAGAGGAGCAAGGCACTCATCATTGGGGAAATATCTTATATAACCCTGTGATGCTGATGCTAATGTGGCTCTTACAGTGGGTGAAGAAAGACCATTATTACTGATGTTTTTAATTAACAGAAGTAAATACCTCTTATAATATAGATGAGAAACTCATCAGACTTGAACTCCACACCTTTAACCGTTGTTTTGCATGTGTATGAGCCCGCAAGAAAATTCCCTATGAAGCCTTGTTTGGGGTCATATAGAGCAAACACAGCCTTGTCTAAACTGTTCATTAAAGTCACTTGAGCTGCCGGGTCGCTTGTCCGACAAGGGATAATTGCGGGATCACCTTCTTCCACTAGGATGAACTGGTCTTCTGGTATAGAAGGAACAAAAGGCATGTCTGGGTCTGTAAAAAATGAAAGGCAATATTACACCCTCTTGTTTGTAGCAAGTCCATGTACAAGAACTGGATATCAATAACCACTTATAGGCCATAACTGAAACTTGTACAGTTCATTATTACAGTTTTTCAGAGATTTCAGATAAGGCATGCTAATTGCATGCAGTATCTTGTTTTAACTGTTGATGTGAAATGTACTAAGACATTTCTCCTAAGCACAAAACAGGAAAGGGCTTGAGTTCCTTTGTGACAGCTCAGGATGCAGGATGGAAAAAGACAGAAAATCCTCCCCCAAAAAATTCTAAGTGTTATTATTCACAACTCACTCATTTTAAGTTAGATTTTATTTTTCACTTTGGTATAAGTAGCTGTCTCCTAACCAATACATAAGCAGGGGGAGAAAAAAATTCAATCACTTTCCAAGTCAAAAAAGTAGAAATAAGCTTCGTGTTGTTTATGTTGAACACCACTAAAGCCACATTTCATCAAAAATAGTTCAATGTACTTATCTTCATGTATTTCTAACATGTCCAACATTACAGTTATGAGACATAGTCAATTATGGTCAGAGCATGTGGTTTTCAAAATATGGTATTCAACAAGAAAAAAAGCAAACAAACACCTGGTAGTTTCATTTCTTTTAAAGTCAACAAAATACATGCCAGCTTTCCTACCCAGCCAATCCAAAGTCTGAGTTTAAAATATAATTGCATAACATAGCCAACTTAAAAAGCATAGCCCTCAAATCATCTCCATTTGGCCATTCAGAATAAACAAATAATCCCTGCTAGCCTGAAGCTTCTGTGCAAAGCTTTATAATAAAATTTAATAAATAGCAGTCCAAATCCCTCCAACAATAGACTTTCTGCTGCACTGGCAGGCTCTTTGTAGCAATATTCCAAACACAGCACTCCATCCCAAAGACACTGCCAACTCCATGTATTCATTTTCCCACTGTAATTTAAAACAGAAACAGGATTCACCTAGTTTGGTTTTCTGTGTGCTGTTAGTGAAAATAGGATATTGTGTGAAGTCTCAACATAATCCTCCTTGGCTGAAGTGGGTTGCTGCCACCCATTGCCCTCCTAATTCATTGCAGGAAAAACAATTGTAAAGACAAAGCTTATAGTGGAAACAGAGAAGTTCTCTATAATTTGGAGAAAAGGATATGTTCCTGCATTTATGACATCTTGATGGTTAGCAAGTGGAAAAAATTACAGGGTGTCTCTGCCCTGCAAATCTGGTAGGCTGATGTCTAGAGGCTTTGAAAACCAAACCAAAAAGCCCTCTTGAAATCTTTTGTCTCTTGCTCTTTATATTCCTTCACTGGATGAGTTACAAGACTGCTTAACACAAACAACATCTTCTGGTGATTTGGTTAGAGCTGTTTGGAAATCAAGATGCATGTGTCAAAGCTGGCAGCCTCTGCTGAATCATCTTGCTTCAAGAATAAGCACAAACGCTTTACATTTGTTGTGGGACATGGAGAGAAAGTCTTGGTAGAAGCATTGTCCTTGAATCACACATTGTGAAGATCAAAAACCCAATGCCACTGCAAAACAGCCTTTAAAACAAGTCTTATTATTGCTTCCTGACTCCTTCCTCTTTCAGAGTCTTCCTTGATGTAGACATCAATCTCCTTGAGAACATGCTGTAGTTTTGCAACGTGATTTGCGATCTCTTCTGTCTTTTGTTTCCTGTTCAAAATATTTACTGCAAATCCAGTGGCTTGATATTTTCTGGCCCTGCAGTTGTGCCTCTCACCCCCTGAAACCCAGTCAATGCCAAGGAAACATCCAGACAAGGCTTTACAAAGGCAGTCGGTCGTGGCTCAGCCTCTGGAGCCTATCTCAGTTATGACAATAAAGATTTTCATCCCATGGAGAGTGTGGAAAGCCTTTAAGCAGATTTCCAGTCAGAACAAGGGGGTGGGAGGGCAAAGTTTGAAACAGGCACTTCAAAAAGAAGGGATGACTTTTCTTCTGAGTCCAACAGGTTTTCTACCATTAGAGAGAAATGCTACACAGAGCCTGGGAAGGCTGTTTGCTTTGTAAATTACAGGGTGCTGTGTGGTAGCATATTTTCAATCTTGCATCAGACTGGCCAACAACAACACTTCTTTCCCCCCCTTCTGACAGACACCCCCAAGATATCTCCATTGCTTTATGCTTCTCAGGTCCTGTGCACACATGAGCTTTTTCCAGTTCTCTGTTCAAGCCTAATTCAGGTTAAGAACAAGATAGGGTTTTCCTCATCTGGCAACTCCTTTAGTGTCATACACAGCACTGGTTTGGTCAGTACACATGCCAAAATATCCACCCAAGTCCTCCCTGAAACTATTGGCATTTATGTTAATCACCCCTGGGAACCAGGCAAACCTGAAGGCTGGACATCCTCCCACAGCTGAGATGACCTGGCCACTAAGGTCCGCTATCCAAACCGTGATGGTCGGAAGACCTCAGCTCTGAAGTTGTGAGTTGATCACTCTTCTTGAGAACTAAAACTCTTGCCAAAAAGTGAAAACCAGTAGAAAGAAAGAGGAGCATATCTGTAGATTCACAGGGGCTGGTCTTGATTTACACATTAGGAAACATCCCTGCGGTCGTTTCTCTTCCTCTGACAGCAAGTTGCTACCAGCAATACACCTCTTCTGAACATCCACAGTTCACCTCTCCCATCCAAACCTCCAGGTACAGCTGTGGCATCCCCCACTTACCAGGCACATAGATGTAGATGTCCTTTCCTTCCACTTCCCCATCCTCCACTTGTGTGTGGTTATAATAGCAAACATACAAGCCCGTGTGAGCAGCCGAGGCATTTCCTACTTCGAGCACTGTCACGAACAGGCCACTGTTGTTTTCTTCATGTCTAATATCTATCCTGTGGCTTCCCTCGGTCACTGGGTACTGCCAGCTCACTTCACTGTCTCCAGAGCATTTGAGTGTGAAACTGGAATTCAGCTGTACCACCATTTCATTCCTATTGGGAACAATAGTCGGCAGAGGAAGCTGGCAAAATGTTAGGAACGGTCCTGCAAAAAGACACAAATAAATAGCATATGAACACACAGAACAGCCTCGACACAGGAATGTGAAAGGAAGCAGAGAGAATCCAGAGCAGTTTATTTTATGACTATTTCAGACCTGCTGATGCCCCAGGAAATTTGCCCTTGTTACAAGCCAGAGCTTTGCCCAATGGATGACAAATGGCTTTCCTTTGAAATGTTAAGTGTTTGCTTGCTGACTTCTGTTTGCCAAATCAAGAGGTGAAAGACAGAGAGAGGTGAAGGTAGAGATAGTTCCCAATCCACACCTCCACAGCCCCAAAGGTGGGCAGAGCTCTGCTGCAAACCAGTGAATCCCACACCCTGACTGGTGGGTCGTGGGCAGCTCACAGCTCCTTACAGCCATGGTCAGGAAACCAGCAGTCCTGTCAGCCTTCGAGTAAGCTCACAGCTGAAAGTTAGAAACCACTTCCCAAGACTAACACCTGCATTTTACTTCTGGCTTCTATTCCTGCAATGGGCCAGAGCAGGGTCTTAGACCAAAAATTTGTGCGTCAGGTCTGCCTCTAGCCAAAATGTACAGAAGGCTTATAGCCAAATAAAACTGAAATTCACTGAACTAGATGTTGTAGGTGGCACTGGTTTTCAGATGCAATCTCCAGTTACAGGCTCAGATTTGCAAGTCTAGGTAACTTGTAGGTGGGCTGGTGCAGGTACAACTCCCAGAAAGAAAATTAGAGGATCCATGCCCTAAAAAAATGGGGATTTCACCAAGGATATACATTAATTGTTTCAGTCTACCAAATGACCTGTACTAAACAGATAGGATAGTTCACAATAAACAAGCACCTCGGCCCACAGCCTGAAACTGGCACTCTATGCCAATAAACTGACCTAGGAATCCAGACTGTCATTGAGAACATTTTCCCCTCCTGCACAATTACCTAGGTCAGCAGACCCTTTCTATATTTGGCACCCTGCGGCAAAGCCTGCCCTCCCCTCCCATCACCATTCACTCTGCAGATGTGGGGAGGCTGGGCAGGCAGCCCCAGTGACTGTGGTCCAGTGGTGAGTGTGGGAGGATCAGGGAGCCCACACAGGCAGCCTGCACCACGCTGCTGGAGAAACCCCAGCAGGGCAGGGCTGGGGCAGCTGGAGGTAGGCTCACTTTCCCTGCACAGACAAGCCAGGTGGGAAGTTATAGCAGCACAGGAGAGCCAAAGGGGCCAGCATGAGCCAGAAAGTACTGCCTTCTCAGTAGGTCTTGTCTCAGCCTACCAAAGGGAAGGGCAGGAAAAACAGATCTGTAGCCAGCTGGAAACCATTTGGCATTTCTTATTGTGGATAGAGTGAAAGCAAGTTTAAATACGAATTTATGAAGGATTAGAGGTGGACAGGCTTAGAGGACTGAGGAACATTACCTGCAAGAAAACATCCCAGGATCAGGAATGTCCGTGGGGAAGTACCCATAGCTACCAACAACTGAAACAGAAAGGAAAAGGCAACAGAGAAACAGTTAGTAGACTGACAACTGTATAAGACATAACAGGAGCCCTCTACTGCAGTGCCCAAGTGCAACTTCCCAGCATTCTCCATGGGGCCATAAAGAGAAACAGCCCAGAGACCCCAGCACACACCCACAGCCTGTTGATTCATACCACCTCCTGCAAGAGGTACATGTGGCCACAGACAGATCACTGGCAGCTAGGGCACCATAACCACTTCTCTCCACTGGCAGTGTACAGAGCAAAGTCCTGGTGCATCCCTTTTAAACAGCCTGCAAGCAGTTCTGCTGCCCACTGCATCCTCCAGGGCTGAGCCCACAGAAACACCCCTGCAAAGAGGCAGCACCCTCAGAGGTGTTGGGTGAGGGTACAATGGCTTTAGGCATATAGTTCTGTCCTTTCAGCTTGAAGCAGCTTTTATGGGAGAAAAAGCACATTTGAAAGCTACTCTTACTGCAAATAGCACAATCCTGAGTGATATTTTTGTTTTGCTATTGTACATATGTGTATATATATAGCTTACAGAATACAATGCAATACAATTGTGCTTATTGCTTATTTAGCAAGAATTCCCTTGATCGAGCGACATGCTATTTAAAACATATGCTGAAATTTTTCTAATGAAATAAATCCATAACAGACTGTAGGCCAGCACTGCCATTCATGGAGCATCTCTTCTCCCCAACAGTGCTGAGAGTCATAGATCACATGCAATTATTTCAGCTTTCAAACACATAATCCTAAAGCATCTGTCTTGTAGAGGCAACAATGGCAATAAGCATCTATGTAATTGTTGTGCCATCTAATGACATTTCTACTTAAAACCCTCAAGCAGCCTGCTAGATAATTTCCAAAGAAGAAGCTCCTACAACCCCTGCTCTTATTGAAATCAACAGATGTTCTGTTGGTGACTTTAATAGCAACTGGATTTGGCCCAAAGCCAATATAGATTAAAAAAGAGACTGCACGAATGAGCCCCTAATCTGAAACACAGACCAAAGACTAAAATAAAGGATGATGTGCCAAGACAGGGACTACTTTTCAAAAGTTCTGGAGAGTTTCTATTCACACTCTTGATACTCAGTTCCTGATGCTGAAATAGGAAAGCACATAGGTGCGTTTAGTTATTACAACTGTGACAGTGCCATAAGGGAGTTAAATTCTTACAACATGCCCAGGAGTGTTTGTGAACTAGTCCTGCTTTCCTCCCACAATGTGTGGAGCAGACAGTGCCCCTTTGCAAAGTATTTGATACACGAACCAAACATAAAGGTCTCAGAAGCAGGATTACAACACTTACAAAGTACCAGCCTCAAGAACATGTACAAACAATTTTTGAAATTCAGCTAACAATATTCCAGCAGAGACAAGGCATTTTGCCTGATTCTTGAATTAGCAATAATTGCCATGTGTTTATGTATCTGTCTGTCATGGATAACAGACTCTTGGATATCAAAGAATTCCCTCAGTTTCAGCCTCCTTACTCATTTTTTATCACATTTATATCCTGTGATTTTTCCTTATAAAGTAACCCACAGTAACTCTTTAAAGACATAGCATGGTCTGCTTTATTGATCTGACTCCTAGTCTCCCAAGACCCACAAGACAATGTTACTCCACTGTCTGCCAAGTTCCCTCCCTTTTTCCAGTGAAAAGGCAGCTCTCTCCCCCTTTTTGTGTTGTTTTACCAGACTATTTAGTGCAAGTGATGCAGCACAGAAGGAGAAAAAACAAAGCTAGCTCATCTCTTGCACACCAGAAACTCTACTTGAGGTGGACTCGTGCTGTTGCAGAGCTGTGTGTGTAAGTGAGGAACGAAGCCTCATGACTTACTGGTGTAAGTACAGGGGATGGCATTTCCAAAGTGCTACTTTGAACTTGCTGTCTTAGTTGGGCTGCCACTGAAATCAGTGAGTGTCTCAATCTAGCATTGCAGTTTAAAAACACAAGGATTTAACTAAATCTGCTTTCTCCATCTGGCTATTCTTTCACAACCCAGAGCTTTGATCTTTCCTCAATGACCCGTTAATCTCATCAAGACCCAGAGCAACACTTCCTCACTGTGAGAGACACAACAATGTACCAAGAGTTCACCATCATCCATATTCAAAATCTATTTGAACTGAATTTAGTTACATCATGCATCTGACTTAAGCATGCTGGAGTCCCATCAACAACATATCCTCACACATCAGTGCTGGAATCAAGGTTTAAAACAGGCACAATTTCACACTTTTGGACATGAGTGAGTTTGCTCATTCCCATGACACGAAGCAGGTACACCTATTCTGGGATTTTTTATTTACAATCACATCCATTTTTGTATACCCTTATTCAACTTTTTCACCTTCCTTATGGCAGAGCAGTTCTCTTTGTCCTCAGCCATCCAAATCTCGGCCCTGGATAAATACATAAGGGTCAGTTCCTAACACCAGTCCATCAATCCATAACCTGATGTAGCCTTACAGAAGCCAGTAGGTTTATGCAAGCTGAAACCTGGTATTGACAGGACACATACAATCTAAGTTTGAGTCAACCTTAATTCCTTGTATACCTTGGACATTGCTTGCTAAAATAGAAACACAGGTGTGTACAGTAAAAGCTAAATGATGCCATGAGGGGTTTTCCAAACTCTCTGCAGGGGAGGCTGAATGCCCAGGGTAAAACAGTCATTGCATTACATTTTTTTTAAAGGATCTGACTGAAATCCTGGTATCTCTCCTGTGCACTTTAGTGATTAAAAAAAATAAACAAATTAGAACTCATTATCAGTGAGGAGTCAATTTTTCAAATAGTAACTGACAAACACTGGCTTTTTACCAAGAAAGGTTTCATTAACTGCACCACAGAAGATAAGGCAAAATCAATGTCCAGAAAATAAATGGAAATATTTGTTTAGAAATTATGATATTCCTAGGTGATTGCTCTACATGACCTAAAGAGAAGGCACAGAGGTGGACCAAGAAGAGCCAACAGTATATATTTTTCCATACTGCTGTAAATCAAACAAAAGCCTCTTTCAAGACAGAAAACTAGCCCATCTACCACAAGGCTGGAGACTACCAAGCCGATTTCCTTCCAGCTCCCCAGTCACTACAGTTCATCCTCTTGGCCACAGGATGGCAATGTTGATCCACATTAATGAGCCAAATGTCCAACGGACGGCAACTCCAGTCTCCAACGCAGCGGATAGAATCTAAACTAGGTCTTTTGGATCAAGTTAAAATTCAAAATTCTTATATTTTAATTTCATGCGATTGCAAAAAAAAAAAACCCACCATACTGGTCCTTATTGGTCTGTATTTACATGAGTGATAGGACAGTAGTTGGATTGCAAATCTTGGCATGTAATGATATGATTATCCTTGTTGTGACAGGGCTGGGTAATTTCAGCGGTGATTTTGTCAGATTGGTAGTCTGTCCTTCTGGGAAAACTGATCTTTTCCAGGAAGAGCTAAGGCCAGCCCAAGAAAAGAGGGTAACATTTCCTTCTTGTGGTATATGTCACCAGCTGAATGTCAATGTTCAGACAAGGCCTCCTGGAACATTTCTTGGTTCTCAATTCCCAAATTGCAAACTCAGTTCTCCACAAGAGCAGCACTGCCCTGCAGCGCTAACATGTGGGTCTGAAGATTTCACTGGGGAAAGGCTCAAACAACAAAAGAAAAAGTCTTCCACAAAAAAGACTGGCATAAATATTCTCCAAAAATTAGGCTTGTTCCACATCCTTTTACAAGTACTTGAATCCAAGATAGCCCAAGGAATAACTATGCATCAATAGCCCAGTTCTAGGCTTCTGCTGAGTGCTTTGGTCTCCACAGGACACCTAGTGATATCTGTCACCTGATGAGCCCTCCAGTGAGCCCCAATTCTTCAGCCTAACTCTCAAGGACAGACTCTCTGTGTCTAGGAGCTAAAAGGGGGGGGGAATTGAAAAGTCTAAGTTTTCCTACTTGGTCCAAAGGGGATTTACCAGACTGTCTCAGCAAACAGAGAAAAAGAAATCTGTCACTTCCAAGGAATACATTTCACCTAGGTTCTCAGTGACAAATCAAAGAACACCTCAGATCCCAACTCAAGTGCTCAGAAGCACTGCGTGGAAAAAACAATTCATCTCTGTTGACCACAAGAGCTAGGAAGCCTAGCTGTTGCAAACTTTTCCCTTGGGTACCCAGGCAAAGCTTTATTGGCTTGAAAGAGATGAGTCAAGCAGGAGAGCAAGGCAAGAGGGAGAGAAAGGATCGCTTGCTTTCTTATTTGTTTGGTTGGGGTTTTTAAAGTATCAGTTCTTCAAATTATGAATTCTTGTCATCATCAGGAAAAATCACCTCTCAGAAGTCATGCCCTTGTCTTTAAGTCTTTGAGATAAGCAAAGTAAACATCTTCCATTAAAAATTTTAGAGTTCACATGCAAAAGTAGTGCCATTGTGGTCATGATGAACTAAGGATACTAGCAAGGCAAAGATTATGTAAAGTTATACATGTCAGCCTCATTTTTAGACCAGCTGGTATAGCTGGAAAAAACCAGCAAGGTCTGGGCTATGTAAGGCTTTATCTGTCTATATGCATTGTACTTGAATCCTAGCTTGATGCTGTAGTACTGAAGAGAGGTATTTTATTAAAATATTTATTGCTTCCTTCTTTCTTGAAACCTAATACCTATATATTACTCTCACAGCCACACGAAGATTTCCCATACATCAACGAGCTAGTAATTGTGAAGATGCCCCCAGAGCCCAATGGCAGCTGGACTGGCACATCTCCTGCCCCTCAGTGCCTGGAGAGGAGCACCAGAACAAGGGATCTCATTTTAAAGCAGTGGGAGAGTGCCTGCAGGCTGGGAGAGCTGGTTTGCTTGTGGGCTCTGAAATCCCAGTGTTTTGTGCGGTCTCATTTTTCTTCAAACTTTTTTTTCCAAGCTTTGAGGTTGACTAAACTGCTGTTTAGCTGTGGGCCATTCTAAAATGCTCATT